GAACTGAACGTTTTTCGCCCTCTTATTCTGCTTGGGACGCCTGCCACTGGAAGTACAGCCACGCAGTACTACCAGAACGAGGCACCTCTTTGCCTTCGCAGGGCTCACTCAGCTTCACCACTCGACCACCTGTGCTGTAGAAGTGGCAGTCGAGACAGATACACGGGATGGAATCGTCGGTGCAGTCCACCACCGCACATCGATGCTTCATCTGAGCAATCAATTCAGTATTCAACCAAAGGGGGCTTGGAACATCGCCATGGCGGCGGGCGATCAACACTGCGCTTACCTCGGAGGCAAACTGGATACAGCCAGCAAGAAGTGGCCCGTTTCCAATCGTAGATTTGGATATCAGCATGGGGCCGAGGAGGAGGCTTGACATTTTCAGCCTCGGAGAGGTCACACTTAGAACAGAAAGGCAAAAGTTTGCAAGCCAGCTTGACACAGCCTGACACGCTCGAAGGTAAAAGTTGATCCTCTCCTGGGCTTCAGCATCAGGGGGGGTGAGCGGAGGCCCCTTCTTTGCGGCCAGGTCGGCAAAGAAAATCCTATTCCTCTTGAAGCGCTACTCTTCAGAAACATCAGCATTGTCGAGCTCCTGGAGAGCCGCGACTTCAACAACATCCCGAAGTCTCCCGAGGCACCCCGGATGCCCTCCAGGACCGAGCCAAAGTAGGCTCGCTTCCCCGAGAAATGTTCCAGGGGAGTGCGAGCGTTCACAGAAACCACAGTGGCACAGTCAGAATAGAGGACCGCAGGGGTCATCTAAGTTGACGTTGGCTGCAGCAAACGAAGAGAATACTCCCGCTTCCGGGGTCTTGGGGAAACTGGGAGAATTCAGGCCCATGACACCAGCCCAGGAGGGAGCCGTTGCCAGCTACCCTCACGAAGGCCCAACCAGCGCGTGACAGTTCTTTACCAGCCGATCTAAAATAATGACCGTCCAGGAAAACATGGTCCGAAAACCGAAGGTCGTCCACTCCCCCAAAGACTAGACCCGCCTCCTGGAATCCCTCCTCGAAGTATTCCATGACGCCGTGATCCATCCCGTATTGCTTCAGCGGCCCAGGGACAAAATCTCCAGGGTGAGGAAACGTGCCAGAGGTGAAGAACACCAAATCCAGGGACCCAGCCTCCTTCGCAGCGAGAGCCAAAGAAACCGTACCACTGCTGACCAGTTCCCGTCGAAGTTCGGTACGGGCATTGCAGTCCCAAAGCTTGTGAAATACAGAGTCCTTAGCACCCTTACAGAGTGGGCAGCAGACGTCGACCTGGTATCCCTTAGCTTTCGCGCGAGAGTCGGTCCAGAGAGCGCTGCGCACAAGCGAACGGGTGCAGCCTTTTCTCGAACGCACACCGCTTCTTCGACCGCAAGGCCGTAGTGATCGAATCCACACAGGGCCTAGGGATCGCCGAGCCATCGGAGCTGTGTAAGCTCGCCGCAAACCAAGCAGACTCGGCCGTCGACTCGATTCCATCGAAGAGACCGCCTTGAACAAGCTTAGGCAAAGCTTCACGCTCCAGCTGGCGAAGAACGGCAGCATGTATACATTTCTTGGGGAGTTGAGAGCTCAACAAAGTACACGAAAGCGCGATGCCTTGCTCATCGATGACAGTCACCAGGCTCCCAAACGACCACTCAATACAGACCAGGGACGGGTACATAGCCGAGATGGGCCCCGAGACCGTCATCGGAATCCCAGGCCTTGCGAATAGACGGCCAGTCAAGGCAATTTCTGAACAAGTGAGGCTTCATATTCTTTACAGTAACGAAGGATGGGGGCCACCAGCGCATACCACACAGGGCCCCCATCAAGAAGACAGAATGATACCGGAGAAAAGCCCAATCAGATATTTTTAATCTTCCAATTGCTCCCCTTGTAATCGGGCTATAGGGCGGGCTATAGGGCTATAGGGCTATAGGGCTATCGGGCTATCGGGCTATAGGGCTATCGGGCTATAGGGCTATAGGGCTATGGGGCTATAGGACTGCGACCTATAGGGCTATAGGGCTATGGGGCTATAGAGCTATATGGGCTATGGGGTTATAGGGCTATAGGGATATAAGGCTATTAGGGCTATAGGGATATAAGGCTATAGGGCTACAGGGCTATAGGGCTATACGGCTATAGGGCTATAGGGCTATAGGGCTACTGGGCTATTGGGCTTTTGGGCTATTGGGCACCCCCGGGCACCCGGGCACCCCCGGGCACCAGGGCACCCGGGCACCCGGGCCCGGCCACCGAAATCGGCGACGAACCTCACCGGCCACCTGGGCACCCGGGCACCGCCGGGCACCTGGGCACCCGGGCACCCGGGCCCGGCCACCGAAATCGGCGACGAACCTCACCTAACCCTTTAATCCGCTAGGACCCCTACAGAGGCAAGCTCTGATTGGGGAACATCGTGAGGCTGCGACTGCCCGAAGACGGGCAGACTACAGGCGTCCTATAGCGTTCGCAGGCTAGTGTGGCGTTCGCACAGGAACTTTGGCATAGCGCGTCGCTCCGCCTGTTCTGGCCCACCACGCTTCAGAGCATCATGCGATCCAGTTCCATATCCCCCCATCGTCAATGCCCCGGGCCTTTCTCAGCGCTCCGCCCCGCGGAGCGGAGCGACACGCTATCCGCTTCCGAAGCATAGCGCGTCACCAGGGCCACCTGGGCGACACGCTACCCAAAAGTTCCTGGCGGCACTTTGCTGATCACGCAGGCCTCTGCACGGCAGCCTCAAAACGATTGCTTTTCATATCTAAATTGCAATTGATGTCGTACACTTCTGAGGCGAACTATTTGCCCCCTCTCAGGCTGATTCCTGTCGTGCCTATAGTCATCGTCGTCGCCGCCGCCGTCGTCGTCGTCGTCGTCGCCGCCGTCGCCGTCGCCGTCGCCGTCGCCGTCGCGGTCGCCGTCGCCGCCGCCATCGTCGTCCTCGTCCTCGTCCTCGTCCTCCTCCTCGTCGTCGTCGCCATGGTCGTCGTCATTGTCCCGTCGTCCCGTCGTCGTCGTCGTCGATATTGTGGTGCTCCGAGGGCCCCAGTGGGGCTTTTGGAGGGGTGCCTGCAGCCGTCGAGGGGCGAGCGGGCGGGCGGCGAGACGAGACCCGCGGCCCTGCCAGGCCGCGGCGACCGCCCTGGCGGCCCCGGCGGCCGCGCCGAGAAAGGCCAGCTCCGAGGGCGCCTCGGGCGCAGGCCGCGTGCGATGCCCCGACCCAGCGGGAAGGATTCGACGGGCGAGGCTTCGATCCAGCATTGTGATACAGGACGGGTTCGGCAGGCGACCCCCCGACCCAGCACCTCGGTGCGGGAAGGATTCGGCGGGCGAGGCTTTGATCCAGCATGTTTGGTGCAGGAAGGCTTCGGCGAGCGAGGCTCAGATCCAGCATTTTGGTGACCCCTGCGGGGGGGCTCTGGCAGTCGGTCCTCCTCGTCCCGAGACCCCCTCGCGTCGTGCGTGTTCGACTTGAAAGGTTTTCGGGCGTTGTCGTCGGCCCTCGGCGGTTTTGTAGCCTCCGGATACTCTCCAGCAGCCGCGCCTTGGCGAGAGCGTTCCGGGGGTGCCCGAATCGTCCCGAGCGGCCGCTTGTGAGCCGAGTTATGGCCCGAAAACCAGTGAGCAAGGAGGGGGGATTGAGGTCGAAGGATCGAGGTGGGAGGACCGCAGGATGGAGGGGGGAGGATCGAAGATTGTGGGGGGGTCAAGGAATCCAGATCCAATCGCGTCGTGAAAAAATCGCGACGGGCGATGCTTTGCCATTCTCGGCGGCAGGTGGCCCTCGCCGGGCCCCAGGACCGTCAAAAAGCGACTCAAGATGAACAGACGGCCCCGGGGAATGGGTCGAGACATCCGTGAGTCCGCGCTGTAATGGAGAAACGAAGTCGGGGGTATGGGTCCCTCCCTATCTCCTTACCTCCTCCTTTCGTGTTCCTCCTTCTCCTCCTCCTCCTCCTCCTTCTCCTCCTCCTCATCGTCCTCCTCCTCCTCTTCCTCCTCATCGTCTTCCTCGTGTATGTGCTGTTTGTGCTTCCCCTCCTTCCCAGGTCCGTAATATGTGAATTGGTCGTGGCGCTGTCTCCATCGCCAAACTCTTTGAGTTCGCGCGTTGATGGCATGCTTCTGTGTTTGTGGCGTGTGTACCTGAAGGCAGGGCCGTTCTAGAAGCATGGTAATCCGCTGGTGCACTGTTCGTGGTATGCCTCCTTCTCCTCATCCTCCTCCTCGACATCATCAGAATCATCATCATCAGCAGCAGCAGCATCAATATCATCAGCATCATCATCGTCATCATCAGCAGCATCAGTAGCATCAGCATCATCATCCACATCATCACCATCACCATCACAACCACCATCACCATCAGCAGCAGCGTCCTTAGTTATCAGTATCATTACCAGTAACGTCATCACCATCGTCAGCATCATCATCAGTTACAGCATCATCATCATCATCAGCATCATCAGCATCATCATCATCAGCATCATCATCATCGTCATTCACAAAATCGTCATGAGCACCATCACAAACACCATTATTATCAGCAGCATGAACGGCGGGCTCCAGGTATCGCGCAGGGCGAACGCGTTCCGGAGTCTTGCCACGGCCACCAACGACACTACGGCCCGCGCCGCCGACGTGTATGAGTGGTTCCAGAGCAACTTCCTCTTCTCCCTCGAAAACACCGTCATCCGCGTGCGCGGGGCGGCTGCGGAGGAGCGCGTCCTACTTGACATCCAGCACCCGGACCACCCGTGGACGGGGTGGCAGGCGAGGGCTGCGCGACTCCTCCGGCCAGACTACGGACCCGCAGCCTTGATGCACCTCCGTCGCAAGCTAAGCCGTTGGCAAGTTCTCGCACCACCTGGACACCGGGTATCACGATGGATCCGCCTCGCCCAGACCGTTGCGGACCTCGTTGCGCCGAGGGTCTGAGCTGCAGCAGTACGAACGGCCTGCAATGGCTGGGCGACTGCACGTCGATTCCAGGGCCGCTCATCGTGCATCATGGGCTGCGCCAGGGAGGACGCGATCGAGCACTACGCGCTGTGCCGCCCCTACATTGACTGCTGCTCGCGGTACTTGGGGCCTCCCGCGCCCGTCCATAGACACGCGCTGGAGGATTTCGTCGGCATCGACCGGTCCTCGCTTTCATCGTGGGGTAGTTCGTCGCTGACGGGGGCGGAGAAGAGCGCCCTGAGGGCGATCTCCGTTTACGCTCTGCACATGACGCACGCGCAGGTCCGCCACGGACGTCGGACCTCCGAGGGCGCGAATGCCTGCCGTGGCCACCTCCGCGAGGCCACGCGGTGCCACCCGAAGTCCACGGAGCTGATGGTGAGGGCATTCGCTTCGCGGGGCGCGCGGGCAACCAGAGGCTGACGCCATTTCACATATTTTCAATCCCGGCTTGTTCCTCCCGCTCCTCGCTCCGCGTAGTTCGCTGGCCTTCTCTTCTTAGTCAGTCACGCAGTTCATGTGGTGGGGCCACTTCGGCGCCTCCCTTTCGACCCGGCGCGGTGCACCGTGATTCGTTTCTAGCCCTGCGCCCGTAGTGATATATACCGCGGGGAGCTTATATCACATCAGCACTGGGTCGCCAACGAGCGCGACTACCTGGGAGCACGCCTACTTTGGTCATTGGGGCGCCCAGACTCACAGAAGTCAGATGGCGATGACCCGCAGGGTTCTGCTCAGATCCCACCTCCTCGTCCTCCTGCTGCTCGTGCGTTCTCCTCCTCCTTTTTCCCCATTGCGGCGAGTAAGATGAAGAGATGCATTGGTGCCGACAGAATGCACCAAAGTCGCGCTGTAGCTTGTGTAAGTAAACACATTGAAGCACATTCGCTGGGCAAGACAAGGGCGCAACAAAACGCGCATCTTCGATTCCGTAACTTGCGTTAATATACCTGCGCACTCGCATGTAGCTGTTTATGGTGTCCGCTCCCATTTCCTGCTCCTCATTAAGAATCGGCAGCAGCAGCACCGCCATCACAATCAGCAGTATCATCATCATTGCCATAAGCGTCGTCTTTATCTTCATCCTCACCATGAATATCATCATTGGTGTCGTCCTCATCGCTGCGATTCGGGGTGGGTTCGTATCGTGTAGAGCTTTGGTGACTAAGGATCAACTTCGCTTCTTTGGAGGTAGCCCTCTCGCGGTGGCGCCGTGATGGCCTGACCCCTCCGTGCCAGTGCTCCTCTTCCGCCGTAGGTGACCGCTCGCTGGGGCAGTTACCACGGGAGGGTGGTTCGTTCCTCGTCCGCGCTGGGAAGGCTTCTGGATCTCTGAAGCACCCTCGAAGGCTCCTGGGTTCAAAAACAAAAATCATGATTGTTGTCGGCATCATCGACGTCGGGATCGGCATTGGCAACATCGTCACCAATAATATCGTCATGGCCGCTAGCAGCATCAAGACCCACGTCGTGATCAGCATCATGTCACCGCCATCGTTGGCGTTGTCGCTATCGCCATCACCCCAGCAATTAGCCAGCATCGTCATCAAGAACAACATAATCGTTGTCGTTGTTACCGCCACCGTCAGCATCATCACCAACTGCATCGCCATCGTCATTAGCATATGCATAGTTGTCACCAGGGTCGTCGTTATCGTCAGTCACCAGAGTCGTCGTTATCGTCATCCCCATGAGCATCACCAGCAACATCCGCATCAGCATCAGCAGCGTCTTAAATATCAGCATCATCATCATCAGCGGTTTGACCCCGGCCACCCGGGGGTGCTTGGATCATCATCAGCATCACCATCAGTATCATAATCATTCCCACCAGAACCAGCACCAGTTCCAGAATCAGCATCAGCATCATCATCGGCATCAGATGCATCAGTACCATATCTGGGATGCCCTGAGCTGGAACCTAAATGAATAAAGTCTGGCAGAGGGGGAGGGAGGAGGAGGAGGAGCAGCAGAAGAAGCAGCAGAGGCAGAGGCAGAAAGATGGAGGGTAGGATGAGGAGAAGGAGGAGGCTGGTTTGATCACGTGGTGACAGAATTAGCGGGTGATGATGATGATGGTGATGGTGATTTAGGAGGAGGAGGAGGAGGACGCCGACGACGACGACGAGAAGGACGACAAACAGAGTGAGGACACCGTGAAGGATGAGAGAAAACGAAGGGGGACACATGGAGGAGGAGGAGGAGGAGGAATTGAGTTCAGTTCAGTTCTCAAGCCCTTCGAGACCGTTTGTAAGCAACTAGGGAAAATACGTGTCTGGCTCGGACTGGGGCGTTAACGACGTCGCTCGACCCCCACGTCGTCGATTCGCTTATAATGCAACCATAGTGATGCTATGCTACGCCTGCAGCGTAGTCTGGCCAATGGGTAAGAGAAGAGGAGAGACCGAGGAGGAGCAGGAGAAGGAGAAGCAGGAGGGAAGAAGGTTGTCTTCAACACGTGGTGTCCGCATCGGAGGACAAGGATGATGAGGGTGGGAACGAGGTAACAAGGTTGAGGAAGAGGTCAGTAGGAGAAGGGCGGAGCTGGAGGAGGAGGAGGAGGCAAAGGATGAGTGTTGATGCTGATTATGATGATGATGATGATGATGCTGATGATGATGATGATGATGATGATGATGATGATGATGATGATGATGATGATGATGATGATGATAATGATGATGATGATGATGATGATGATGATGATGATGATGATGATGATGATGATGATGATGATGATGATGATGATGATGAGGCTGAGGCTGAGGCTGAGGCTGAGGCTGAGGCTGAGGCTGAGGCAGACGCATAGGAAAAGGTTAGTTTGAGGACGTGGTGGAGGTGGGACGACGACGATTGCGGCGATGATGATGACGGGGGAAGGAGCGAGAGGAGGAAGAGGAGAAGGAGCAGCAGCATGAGCAGGAGGGGATGGTTGCGATCACGTGGTGTCAGCACGTTGTGCCAGCGCTGTACCCCAGCTATTCCGTAGCCGTGTCGGCCCAAGCCGTTGCATTGGCTCGAGATAGGTCCTTTTGCCAAGAGCAGCAAAGAAACATAGTGGTAGTCAGATTCGGTCCCATCCTACTCTAGAAGGGGGGAGGAGGGCGACCCCTGATATCCGCGCGTCGCCAAAAAGGTCACGGTGAACACTTCTTCACAATTTCGGGTCCCTGGACTTCCGCGGATAGAGTTTGGCTCGAGACGTCCCGCGCAGAGATAGCGTCGGAAACCCCATTCGTGGTTCTCACTACGTTTTCGTTCACGGCGTCGGATGTCAAGGGATTTTCGCCATCCTTATGATTCTGATTCTAGCTGTCCTGGTTGCGCATGTCGTGCCGATTTCAGAGACATGGCATCCCTAAGCTTGTCCCGGCCAGTGCGCATGCTTTCACTCGATGGCGGAGGGTTGAAGGGGATCTTTGCTGTGACAATCCTCACCGAACTTGAAAAACGTTGTGGAAGGCCGTTGTACGAGGTTTTCGATTCTCTAAGCTGCCGCTGCATCCGCCGACGCCCTGTCTGTGATTCTCCCGTACACGAGAGGACAGGACGACGGGGAGGAGGAGGGTAGATATCGGATCTTGGCGTTTTTTCTCTTTGCGTGTCTCTTGGGAAGGCCTCGTCGACACGGCTGGATCCGCCTCAACGTTCTGGTCAAAGCGCACCCCTGGACAGTTCTGGGCGTCGACTTGTTGGTGCACTTCCAGCGCTCCCCGTGCCTCTCCCCCCGGCCCATCGTCCGTTCGCAAGCCATTTCGCACGACACATCGGCTCAGCAGGGGAGAAACGTTGGCCGCGCAGGGAGCGGCAGGCTGAGTTCAGAGAGCACACTCGAGCGTCTACGGCGTCAATGTCGAATCCGTTTTATTAGACAAAAAATCTGCCCTTTGGCCCCGTGCCTATCCCGGTCTTTGGGGAGTGGCAGCCTTCTTCCCCAGGCTCGCTGCCTGGATGGGCCGGCGGACTTCATCGTCGGCACGAGCACTGGTGGGTTGATTGCTCTCGCCCTGGGCGTCAGAGGCCACTCCGCGGAAGAGTGTGGCCGGCTTTACGGTCAGCTTGCCGAGGCGGCTTTCCAGAAGAGGGCAGGTGCCGTGGGCTGCGCGCAGCAGCACCGCGAGGAGGCGCTGGAGCGGGAACTCCGCAGCATGTTTGGCGACGCTAAGCTTGATCAGACAGACGAACATCCAACTGGTGGGCAGTGCAAGGTGGTCGACGTAAAATAAGCTGGGTCGGCTGCGCGAAGTTCGTCCGCTCAGCAGGCGCATTAAATAAAAGATGGGCCTGCCAGCAGGTTATGGCTATGGGGCCCACAGACGCCCTGGGGCGCCCCAGGAAACTTAAAGCTCGAGAACGTACGTGCCCCTTCATTTCTTAGCGCATGTGTTCTTATCGCATGTGTCTCCTATAAGCTGCCCGCGTAAGGTCGCGCGTCAGCGCCCCTGGTTTCTACGCGGTGTGCCGCGCTGGCGGCCTGCGTAAGGTTGCCACGTCCTCGTGCGTAAGGGCCCCTTTGTTCTCGTCGCTCAGGTGGCAGTGGTCGCGGTCTCTGCGAATCAAAGGCCGAGCCAGCCAGTGCTGTTCAAGAACTACTCGGGAACAGAGCCTTCCGAGGACCGCCAGGACGTCGCCGTTTGGCAGGCAGCGCGCGCCACGAGCGCCTCCCCGCAGTACTTTGCGCCCGTCAGGATCGACGCTGGTGGATCGAGGCGCATGTACCAGGACTTAGAGGGGAAAATCATACCGACACTGCTGCTGTTCTCTCGTTTCCTCATGTCTGTTGGCCTCCAGTGGGGCCCTCGTCCCCACGGCTGGATTCGCCTCGAGATCCTGGTCACCAACGCTCCCCGGAAACGGTCTTGGGAGCAGCGGCGAGAGCAGCGGCATAGTTATCTTCATTGTTCCCTCAAGGATGGGGCTTTGGCGGCTAATAATCCTGCCCTGCTTGGTTATTCTGAGGTTCTGAAAATACCCGGATGGCAAGGCCGCGATGTAGTAGTTGTGTCGATCGGGGATGCGGTGGCGCCCCGAGCCGTGAATGGGTCCAGGAAGCCAAGCCTCAACGCGGCCAGCACGCTGCCTGACGTGATCCGTAGCTCACTGGAGTCATTGGAAGCGTCCTCTGCTGCGGTACACCGCGTCATGCGGGGGATTTTGCCAGGGAGCAGATATTTCCGCATAGACGCCGTTGCTGCAGTCAGAGACGTGGACGGCAGGAGTGGCATGCCGACTTGGAGTATTGCTGCCCAGCAGTGGTTGAGCGATAACGCTGATGAGCTCGATCAGATCTTATATTGTTTACGATAGTACAGTGGAGGCCCGATTGTTTGTGTTACAGAATTGTCTGCAGGCGTATGCCTCATGCTTTGCCGTCTAGCCTGCCGCGGCCCCCCAGACCTAAGTATGATGCATTGTACCCGCTCGATCGATAATGTATAGTTGAATCGAGCGCTGATCATTACAAACACTGGAGACTGGAGTGTGTGAGTGGAGTGAGCCCGACCGGGGCATTGGTTTCGATGTTGGTTCGATTCGTGCCCTGGGTTGCGTGCGGGCGGGGCGATGCTGTCCGAGCGAGCGACGGGCGACAGCTAGCTAGCGCTAACTTTGACATACACGCATCCAGTTCCAATCATCCGCGGTGGCGAGGGAGGGAGTCCCGCGGTTGTCCCGTGGAAGTCTTGTGCTTGTCCCGTGCGGTGGTCTCGTGGTTGTCCCGCGAATGTCTTGTGTTTTTGCAGAGGTTGTCCCATCGGTGTCCCGCGGTTCCTCCGCCGTTGTCCAGCGGACAGATAGATACACCGCTTCACTGGTATGTACATATGGTGGTTTCAGTAGCTCGGTATAGTCAAACACAGAACGGTATGAGTGCAGTGCGGTATGAAGAAAGGTGGGGCGGGTATAGGTCGCCAGCTGGATAGGGAGAGTGGGGGTACTTGGATCGTTATATATATATATATATATATATATATATATACATATATGCGTGTATGCATATATAAACATGTTATGCATTATCCACAAACCTGGTAGTCCACCCTCCGGGTGATAAGGAGATTGGGGGGATGGACGCAGTTGTCGGTTTGCGAGTGACGTCCGATCGGATTCGCAATAGACCTACATCTCGACCTCCCGATGTACTGATTTGGCTACGACTGCACACCTGCGGATCCCACAATCGATCTATCGACCTGAATTTATATTTCCGCTACGGTGTGCAATTCCATGTGCGTTCCGATGCGGATGACGATGTGCATTTCGATGCGCACGTCGATCTATAGTTCGACGTGCATTTCGATTGCAAGTGGATTCCCGTTTCGATGTGCATACTGCTTGTGGTTCGCGAATCGTGTTTCCATCTTTCTATTAGCATGCCGACATGCATTCGATTTGGGTTTCGATATAAATGCCAAGGCGCATTTCGATTTGGATTTCGAACGACAGTACGTTTTGCGTTGTCATTGCAATTGGATGTGAATTTCGATGTGCGTTCCGATTGCAATTGGATGTGCATTGTGCGTTGCATTTCCCACGAGGCACCAAGAAACAACCCGCGGGACAACCAGGGGACAATCACGAGACACCAGCGGAACAACCCACGGAACAACCACAGGAAACCCCGCGGGACAACGAACCGCATGAGTACAAAAGGACAACCCATGGAACAGCTACGAGACAATACACGGGATAACAGCAGGACAATCATGGGACAATAAATGTACGGGACAAGCACAGGACAATGAACGGGACAACCGCAGGACAACAACAGGACAACCGCGGGACAACCACGGCGAGGCATTGTTGAATTGAAGTAGAAATTGGTTGTACGAGTTGGCCCTAGCTTTGGACGGCACCTGATCGTCAATGCCGAGCTCCGCCCCTCACGCAGGACACGAACCGAAAACGAAGCCGATGGCCCAGAGGGGGTTAATCCGTTCTTTCCCACTTACCTTCGATATTTATGTATATCCACAGAGCTACAATTACACCAGCAATGTGCACAAGCAAGCGTACCTCATGTATGTATACATAGATAAACCTACATAGTCGTGCATATTTCGTGCATCTCAACACGTATGTACAGGTATTCACATGTATGTGTCTGTTTGTAGATCTGTGTCATAGACTTATGTGTATACGCCGACACATGCATGCACACATACATACATATGTGTATACATACATACATACATACATACATGCATACGTACATACATACATACATATATACATATATACATGCATACAGACATACCGACATACATACATACAGGCATACATACATACACACATGCATACATGCATGCATACAGACATACACACGCATAAATATATATATATATATATGTGTGTGCGTGTGTGCACCTGAAAAAATATTAACTACAACGAGTGGCCTCCGGTCCATTCCACCACTGGGCCTGGATTGCGGGTCAGAGTCAGCAGGGATGTTTCTTGGGATCTCTTCGGAGCGCTCTCGGAGGCCTCTTGGGGGCAGTTTGGGGACATCTTGTGAGCCTCTTGGGGGGCCTTGTGGAGCTTCCTGGGTTCCTCTTGGGAGCCCTTTTGGGGCCTCCTGGGGGGCCTCTCGCGGCCGAGGGCTTGAAATGTCCGTTCGGATCCCCCGTCTGGGCCCCCTCTTGGAGCCGTCTTGGGGGCCTTTGGGGCCGCCTTGGGGACCTTTTGGGCAGTCTTGGAGGCCTCTTGGGCCCTCTTGGGCCGTCTTGGAGCCCTCTTGGGGGGGTTGGGGGTGCTCTTGGAGGCCTCTTGGGGCGATATTGGGGGCCTCGTGGACCGTCTTGAGCGTCGGGAGGCCGAAAACGCGGGAAAGCCAAATGGGAAAGCCAAATGAACATCTGTGTATATGGACAGAACTGTATACACTTGTTGATGCGCGTAGTTATGTCTGTGATTACGCATTTGGACACCTACAGCAAGTCAATCCAACATGCATGTATGGAATTTGATGTGTGCACGAACATGTATGTCAAATACATCCAGAATTGCGGATGTGCAATTCTAGATGTGCGTGTGTGTAAATCATTCGTTAGCGGGGTTCAACACCAGCGATCCGTGCAGACGCACACATATGTTAAATTCCGATGAGATGTGACAGTGAGTTGCACACAGAGTGGTGTACATTCAAAGACACGTAGTCAGCTTAATGCATGGAGCGCCGTGTATTACATATTCATGCAGATGTCAAAACCAACGTGTGGATGCGCAAACAATGTTCTATACGTATATAGTGGCCTTCGGCTCATCCCGCCACCACGTTTTGGCCGTTGACCAAACTCTTCTGAGGGGCCTCTGTGAGTCACTTAGTAGGCCCATTGGGTCTCGTGGTGGCCTCTTTGAGGTGTCTCGGGGGTATCATGGATGCCTCTTGGGGCCTCATGGGGACCCCTTGGGGGCCTCCTGGAGGACAGGCCCTCGGGGTCATCTTAGAGCATGTTGGCGGTTGAGTCTTGCGGTCACGCTCCCGAGGCATTTGGAAGGGTCGCGCGGGCATAGTTCAACGGGACCTGAGGACATTCCACTCCTTGCACCCAGCACGGTGGCGGATATACGAAGTAGATGCCACACATCGACAGGTAATCGTTTATAGGTGGCACAAACGTTGCCAAACCGACGCGGGGCCGTCGCAAACCGAAAGCCGCGCCCACACCTTTGATGGTCGGGAATTCTGGCTTACCGTGTCGCGCCGCTGCCCCTGGCCCACCACGCTTCGGCGAGACGGGTGATCCACGTCACAGTACCCGACCGTCAACGTCCCGAGCTTTTTTCCGGCCTCTCGCCCCGCGGAGCGGAGCGACACGCTGTCTGATTGCAGGGCGCAGCGTATCGCCGGGGCCGCCGCCGCGACACGCTAAACCAAAGTATTTGAACAGTCAAGTTGCTGAAAGAAGGGCCACTTGGGCACCTGCACGAGGCAATGGTTCATCTTCGCCAGACGTTCCGTGTTTGGCATATTTGTCGATGCCGAACCATGTTTTTCGGTTTCTTACCCGATGCCCTCACCGTAGCATGCCAGGGCTCCGCGGAGCTCTGCTGCAGGTCCGTCTCGCCCGTGCGCGGAGTGTTTGTTAGTAGACCATGATTTTGTTCTGAACGCATCTCGTGGTAGGCCTCGGGGGTGCTCTGGTTTCGGGCTAGGTCGGGGAATCTATTGCGAAGGCCTGACGGCCGGTGCCGCCGACCCTGTTCGCAATGCGCAGCAAGAGATTACGAGGTTGCTCAAGGTCGGCTTGGCTGCAGCCCAGGGGAAGAGGAGTCCCAGGGGGGGGCGTCGTATCTGACCCGGGGGGGGGGTCGCTACCCCCCCCCCCCTCCCGGCGGGGGAGGGATCAAAGGGAAGGGGCTTCCCTTCGACTCAATTACGAGGTTGCTCAAGGTCGGCTTGGCTGGAGCCCAGGGGAAGAGGAGTCCCAGGGGGGGGCGTCGTATCTGACCCGGGGGGGGGGTCGACACCCCCCCCCCCTCCCGGCGGGGGAGGGATCAAAGGGAAGGGGCTTCCCTTCGACTCAATTACGAGGTTGCTCAAGGTCGGCTTGGCTGGAGCCCAGGGGAAGAGGAGTCCCAGGGGGGGGCGTCGTATCTGACCCGGGGGGGGGGGGTCGACACCCCCCCCCCCCCCTCCCGGCGGGGGAGGAATCAAAGGGAAGGGGCTCCCTTCGACCCTCACGAGGTTGCTCAAGGTCGGCTTGGCTGGAGCCAGGGGAAGAGGATCCCAGGGGGGGGCGTCGTATCTGACCCGGGGGGGGGGTCGACACCCCCCCCCCTCCCGGCGGGGGAGGGTCAAGGAAGGGGCTTCCCTTTCGACTCAATTACGAGGTTGCTCAAGGTCGGCTTGGCTGGAGCCCAGGGGAAGAGGAGTCCCAGGGGGGGGCGTCGTATCTGACCCGGGGGGGGGGTCGCTACCCCCCCCCCTCCCGGCGGGGGAGGGATCAAAGGGAAGGGGCTTCCCTTCGACTCAATTACGAGGTTGCTCAAGGTCGGCTTGGCTGGAGCCCAGGGGAAGAGGAGTCCCAGGGGGGGGCGTCGTATCTGACCCGGGGGGGGGTCGAAGCCCCCCCCCCCTCCCGGCGGGGGAGGAATGAAAGGGAAGGGGCTTCCCTTCGACTCAATTACGAGGTTGCTCAAGGTCGGCTTGGCTGGAGCCCAGGGGAAGAGGAGTCCCAGGGAGGGCGTCGTATCTGACCCGGGGGGGGGTCGCTACCCCCCCCCCCCTCCCGGCGGGGGAGGGATCAAAGGGAAGGGGCTTCCCTTCGACTCAATACGAGGTTGCTCAAGTTCGGCTTGGCTGGAGCCCAGGGGAAGAGGAGTCCCCTGGGGGGGCGGGGGGGCGTCGTATCTGACCCGGGGGGGGGGTCGACACCCCCCCCCCCCCTCCCGGCGGGGGAGGGATCAAAGGGAAGGGGCTTCCCTTCGACTCAATTACGAGGTTGCTCAAGGTCGGCTTGGCTGGAGCCCAGGGGTTGCTCAAGGTCGGCTTGGCTGGAGCCCAGGGGAAGAGGAGTCCCAGGGGGGGGCGTCGTATCTGACCCGGGGGGGGGTCGCCACCCCCCCCCCCCTCCCGGCGGGGGAGGGATCAAAGGGAAGGGGCTTCCCTTCGACTCAATTACGAGGTTGCTCAAGGTCGGCTTGGCTGGAGCCCAGGGGAAGAGGAGTCCCAGGGGGGGCGTCGTATCTGACCCGGGGGGGGGGTCGCTACCCCCCCTCCCCCCTCTCGGCGGGGGAGGGATCAAAGGGAAGGGGCTTCCCTTCGACTCAATTACGAGGTTGCTCAAGGTCGGCTTGGCTGGAGCCCAGGGGAAGAGGAGTCCCAGGGGGGGGCGTCGTATCTGACCCGGGGGGGGGTCGACACCCGCTCCCCCTCCCGGCGGGGGAGGGATCAAAGGGAAGGGGCTTCCCTTCGACTCAATTACGAGGTTGCTCAAGGTCGGCTTGGCTGGAGCCCAGGGGAAGAGGTCTCCCAGGGGGTGGCGTCGTATCTGACCCGGGGGGGGGTCGACACCCCCCGCCCCCCCTCTCCCGGCGGGGGAGGATCAAAGGGAAGGGGCCTTCCCTTCGACTCAATTACGAGGTTGCTCAAGTCGGCTTGGCTGGAGCCCAGGGAAAGAGGAGTCCCAGGGGGCGTCGTATCTGACTGGGGGGGGGGTCGACACCCCCCCCCCCCACCCGGCGGGGGAGGGATCAAAGGGGCTTCCCTTCGACTCATTACTTTGCTCACGGCTTGGCTGGAGCCCAGGGGAAGAGGTCCCCAGGGGGGGGCGTCGTATCTGACCCCGGGGGGGGGGTCGACACCCCCCCCCCCCTCCCGGCGGGGGAGGGATCAAAGGGAAGGGGCTTCCCTTCGACTCAATTACGAGGTTGCTCAAGGTCGGCTTGGCTGGAGCCCAGGGGAAGAGGAGTCCCAGGGGGGGCGTCGTATCTGTCTCGGGGAGGGGGTCGACACCCCCTCCCCCCCCTCCCGGCGGGGGAGGGATCAAAGGGAAGGGGCTTCCCTTCGACTCAATTACGAGGTTGCTCAAGGTCGGCTTGGCTGGGTCGGGGAATCTATTCGCGGCCGATGCTCGCCGTCGCCAGAAACGCCCCTTCATTCCTTACTCAGCTTCCCCTGTGGTGGCACGATGACTGTGATTCTGCTTCTCGCCCGCAGGGTGGTCCAATCGGTGCAATTTTGTATCGGCCTCGACCGGCCAAGCGGCACGTACAGTTCGCCGAGCGGGCCCGCCGCCCTGCGGTGGTTCGCGGGGCCCTCTGTGGGGCGCGCGCCGTCGGCTCCGGGCAGCCTGGGAGGCACCACGTCTCTTGCGTTTGCACGTTCGGTGGCCGTGGAAAAAGTTCGTCGGTGCGCCGAGGGGAGAGGGGGGCGGGGGAATCAAGAACCCGCCAGCCCTTTGAGAAGCCCCATTGCGGCTTCGAAAGGCGCAGAAAGCTTCTCGGGAGGTTGGAGGCCTTCTGAGCCTTCTGGTAAGGCCCGCCCCCTCTGCCTTCCCCCCCTGGGCCATCACACCACCACTAACCCTTGCGTTCGTCTGGTCGCGCGGGCAGACACGCTAAACGCGTGCACGAGCGCGGAAAAGCTGACGCGCCAGGCACGTGCCAAGGGAAACACGCGACACGCCAAAGGAAAACACGTGCCAAGGAAAACACGTCCCCCCCTGGGCGCGCCGCCGAAAAGTAGTGCTTCGCCCGCGGGGGGTTCCTCGAAGGCGCGCCCCCTGGAGCAGCTCGGAACCTCCGGGCCCTCGGCCTCGCCTCTGAGCGCGGAGTCTGGGAGCGGAGCTCTCCCCACTCGGTTGCGCTCCCCCTCTTCCCCCTTGCCTCATCTCCCCTCCTCCTCCTCCTCCTCCTCCTCCTCCTCCTCCTCCTCCTCCTCCTCCTCCTCCTCCTCCTCCTCCTCCTCCTCCCCCTCAAACCCCATTCTCGTCCTCCCCGTCCTCCTCTTCTCTTTTCCCCGTCCTCTCCTTCGTCCGCCTCCTCCTCATCATTCTCCTCCTCATCTTCCTCCACTCCTCTTCTTCCTCCTCCTCCGCATCCTTCTCCGCATCCTTCTCCGCATCCTCCTCCTCCTCTTCCTCCTCCTCCTCCTCCTCCTCCTCCTCCTCCTCCCCTCCTCCTCCTCCTCCTCCTCCGCCTCCTCCGCATTCCACCTATCGTCCTCCTCCTCCCTCCTCCTCCTCCTCCTCCTCCTCCTCCTCCTCCTCCTCCTCCTCCTCCTCCTCCTCCTCCTCCTCCTCCTCCTCCTCCCCCTCCTCCCCCTCAAACCCCATTCTCGTCCTCCCCGTCCTCCTCTTCTCTTTTCCCCGTCCTCTCCTTCGTCCGCCTCCTCCTCATCATTCTCCTCCTCATCTTCCTCCACTCCTCTTCTTCCTCCTCCTCCGCATCCTTCTCCGCATCCTTCTCCGCATCCTCCTCCTCCTCTGCCTCCTC